GCCGCGGCTTGCGGTAGATGCTGCCGCTGTAGTCACCGTACTCCGAGTACGAGCTGTACTGGTACGTGTCATCCCACGCCGTGGCATCCGTGTCCACAGATATGGCGCTAGCACGGTGGCTAGCGCGGTTCACGCGCCGCCCGGAGCCAGAGCCAGAGCCAGACCTGCGCGCTGAGCCCTCGTAGTCGTTGTCGTTTCGGCGCCGGCGCGATGTCTGCGGCGATGTTGGACGCGACGAGCGGGGTGAACCGTGTCGGCCCGCGTTGTACAGGCGACTGGCCACCGTGCGCTCGAGTGTGTACTGCCCTTTGCAGTATTGCTTGAGGTCAGGCATCTTCCGTAGCTGCGGCGGCAGCCTCTTGTCAATAGAGCCGTCGTAGGTGGTGCTGTTGTTGTCGCCTTGGCCCCGTTCGGCGTTGGCGCTGCCCGTGTTGTTAGCTGCGTTGTCGTTGATGCTGCCGTTGCCAACCTCGGCTGTCGTCGCCTGGTACAGGCGGTGGAAGACCACCGCCATGTCCAAGAACGAGGGGCTGTTCATAACAAAAATAAGCGATGGCCGTGTGTGCATGAGCGTGTGTGTGTGTGTGTGTGCATGAGCGTGTGTGTGCGTGTGTATGAGTTGGCGCTGCTGAGCAGAGACGGGTTGCTTCATCAGACACAGAAGACAGACAAACAGGAGGAGGAGAGAAAGGCTCCAGACAGCGAAATAAGTACACACACACACACATGTACATACCGTTGCAAGGGCGAAACGTCCCAGCACTTCAACATGAGGTTGTAGACTTCGTCAACGCAATCTTCAGGCTGTGGCAGACGATAACCGCCTGTCACCTCCGCCCACACCTGCAAAATCATGCGATGCGCAAGTAGTGGGGACACTCGTGAGGGCGTAACTTTGAGCCCGGACAATACTATCAGGCAGAGTAGCAAGAATCACTGTTCTCAACCCCCACACAAGCGAGATGGGTTACTCTTCTGCCGCCACCTCTTCCCGACACACACACACACACACACACACACACGTAATGTGAAGACGACACTCACCCTCTGGTTGTTCCAGTTGCTGTATGGGGTTTCAGCATTTGTCCAAATCTACAAAACACACGCGCACACAGTTAGGAAAGTGAGTGAGTGCTTTGAACACTCAAGAATAAGTACCTAAAACAGAACCTGCGAGGTGCTATTTGTGGTTGGTGTTGTTGATGGTGGTCGTGTTTCGTTCATTCCTGTAGCGGGCGGCTTGCAGCTGCGAGTCAGTACACATGGTGTGCCTCACCTCATACAGCAGAATGCCATAACTCCAGCAATCTGATGCCGTGGTGAATCTGCGGTCCTCCAGCGCCTCAACTGCACACCAGCGCACAGGCAGTGGACCGCCGCGCCCCTGGTAGTACGCATCGGACTCGGGGCCTGGATGGACCCATGCAAAATGAGAGAGAGAGATGTGTGTGTGTGTGTGTGAGTGTATGAGTGAGCGAGCGAGAGAGAGAGAGAGAGAGAGAGAGAGAGTGAGTGAGTGAGTGAGAGAGAGAGAGAGAGAGAGAGAGAGAGAGAGAGAGAGAGAGAGAGAGAGTGAGTGAGTGAGTGAGTGAGTGAGCGAGTGTGTGTGAGCGTGTGAGTGTGTGTGAGAGAGAGAGAGTGTGTGTGTGAGTGTGTTCGTGAGTGTATGTATGAGTGAGTGTTTGCACTTGAGTGTACGTGAATCACGCGCACATCACCTGTGTACACGCAGTTTCCACATGTTCTGAAACACCACCATCGCCCCGCCACAGTAGCCAGCCCAGCTCACCTTTCTCGCGGGAGAGACCAAAGTCACTGATTTTGCAGTGAAGGAGAGAGTTCACCAGCACATTCCGCGCCGCAATATCACGGTGCACATACCCACGCGAGGTGAGGTACGTCAGCCCTTCAGCGCAGTCTGCGGCCATGCAATACCGCTCGGCAAGCGAGATGTCCTTGCTCTTGAGATAGTGCTTGAGGGAGCCGTGCTCGCAGTACTCAAGCACAGCCAGCATGGGCTCGCCAGCGGTCACCACGCCAATCAGGCGCACCACATGCGGGTGGTTGAACTGGGCCTGGTGTGTGTACGTGTGTGAGGGGTGGGGCAAGGTCGTGGTTTGCGTGAGCAAGCGGGCAAGCGGATGCAGTGGTTTTGACAGAAGGTTGAGTGGAACCTACAGCAAGGACGGATGGCAATGGCACATGGGGATAAACATAGACGCAAACAAGCAACGTCACAAAGTGACAAAGTGACAAAGTGACAAAGTGACAAAGTGACAAAGTGACAAAGTGACAAAGTCACACACCCACACAAACACACACATACAAGCTCACAACACACACACACACACACTCAACAAACGAACTTCCACAACCACACACGCACACCATCACAGACGCACAGCACGGAACGCACCATGATTGCGCATTCTTGAAGCAGTTCCTGCCGCGCAACAGCACCGGCCGATTCATGCAGCTGCTTGATGGCGACAAGGTACTCTGGCCTCACGCCATCTCGCACACACCCCTTGAAGACGATGCCAAAGTTGCCCTTCCCAAGCTCCTCCAAAGTGAACACAGTGGACCGCTTCAGCTCCATGGGTTTCACGGGCTGGTCGTTCGTGGCACTGTCCATACACTGCAGGTGCATGTCCTCCAACATGTCTGAAAAGTCGTGTGGCTTCGCGCGGCTGCGGCGGTACAGCACAATCACGGCAGCGGCCAGACTGAGGACGAGCAGCACACCTAATGACACACCCACTCCGATGCCGATCTTGTCCGCGGTGGTGGTGGTGTCCTGATCGCCATTGCTCGAGCTTGCACCAACGTTGACAATGGTCACGTTGAAGCGACAGCGCGCGACATTGCCACTCACGTCCTCAGCCTCAACCACAACTGGGTGCGTGCCAATGGACAGCCGCGTGCCCTTGGCGGGGATGCTGGAAACACGCAGCAGCACGTCATTGTCGGTGGCACCAACGTCGTCCCACATCACGCGAGCCGTGTCATTGGTGGTGAGGATGTCAGGCTGCAGGGTGGGACAGTTGGAGATGGTCGGGGGCTCTTCGTCGCGCACGACAATGGTGAACGTGCACATGCCAACGTTGCCGCTCGCGTCCCATGCGGAGAGGGTGATGACATGCGACCCCACTCCGTACTCTGGTGATGGGGTTGAGGTCGTCAGGCAGGGTGATGGGTCAAGGCCAGCCTTGCTCAGCGTTGATTCGCATGCAGTCAGCGCGTTGTCGCTGATCGTGGGCGGCCGTGTGACGTCTGGTGTGATCGCCACCGTGTTCGTGCCGAGTCCAGCCACGTACACATGGTCACTGGGACACGTGATGGTCGGTGGCTCCACATCGCGCACCGTGACGGTGAAGGAGCATGTGGCAGTCAGCCCGTGTGTGTCCATGGCCGTGTACGTGACCGTGTGATACCCGTGCCTTGCCTCTTCGTCCTTGGACTTCGCAACAGCGTCACTCGTCGAGAACTGCGCGAGCAGCATGGAGAACACAGAGCCGGGCGTGTGCGAAGCCGTCACTGCGATGATGCCATACTTGTCCATCGCAACAGGCTCCTTCCACCACACCCTCTGCTCTGCCGTCCCCGGGGCGGCGTCAACCACAATGTCCGACGGACATGAGTCGCCAAAGCTTGGCGGTGCGCTGTCTGCGATACCGAAGATGTGGTGGCGCTGCGTGCGCACAACCCTCATATCAACGGGATCTGTGAACGCGTAATTCATTTGCAGGGCGCTGTTCACGTGTATGCTGAACGGCATGATGTGCGTCCACACGGGCTCGTCGGCACTTACAGCTGCACCTGTGGGCAATGGTGGTGGCCCAGTTGTTGTCGCTGTCGCGTTGTGGTGCGTTGCTGTATTGTTGGCTGAATCATCCACAGTGCTGCTTACATTCGCTGTTGCCGCTGTTGCCGCTGCTGTGGTGGTGATGGTGGTGGTGGTGGTGGTGGTGGTGGTGGCGGGGCCGTGTGGTGTTGTTGCGGGTGGAGGCGCCAGAGATGCTGGCGTGGACACCCGTGCACTTGCATTCGCTATTTCGACGGCGAGCGGGACGTGGGGCCAATGAAGAGAGACTTCAATGGCCTCAAACGTGAAATCCACCGCTGGTAGACTGCCCTCACCGGCAAACCGCAGGTGCGTTGGTGTCGTGGGGTCATCTGGCTGCAGCACAATGCTCGTCTCCGTGGAACTCGTGAACCAGTGCAGTTTCTGCTCGACGGCCTCGCCATTCAAATCGCGCGGATCAACAATGGTGACGCGTGTGTACGCATCAGGCCACGCAGCGTGCGAGGTGTGGTTGTGTGGCGTGCGCAGCGTCACGTTGTCCACCAGGAGCATGTCCACGACAAGGCGGGCTTGCGTGTCGAGGCCACGGTACGTGATGGAGAAGCGATCTCCGTTGTTTGGTTGGATGCGCAGCTTGTACTCGTTGGCATCCACGCCATGGGCTGTGGGCATTGACCACAGCAGCTGGTGGTCTCGCAGTTGAGTCATGTCGATGAAGTCGACCTCTGCGCTCTCCACAATGCCGCCGTTCTGCAGTTTCCAGCCAGAGCGGCTGTTGAACGCCGCGTACTTGAGCGGGATGGTGGTGGCGGTGGTGCGAGGATTGACTGCCACATTCACAAGAAACGAGCACGTGGCTGTGAGGTCGCTTGTATCCCAGGCCGTGACCACCACGCGATGCGGTGAGTCGAGAAGCGAAAACGCGCTGCCGGGCTTGGTGTTGGATGCGATGCGGGCAATGGCGATGTTGTCGTATGCCTGTGGCTCCTCCCACGACACCACGGCGCTTGTCTACGTCGTGTGTGTGTGTGTGTGTGTGTGTGTGTGTGTGTGTGTGTGTGTGTGTGTGTGTGTGTGTGTGTGTGTGTGTGTGTGTGTGTGTGTGTGTGTGTGTGTGTGCGTGCGTGTGTGTGTGTGTGCGTGTGTGTGTGTGTGTGTGAGTGTGTGTGTGTGTGCGCGTTTGCGCGGTGGAGGG